CTCGCAACCTGACACATCTTGGTCTGGGACATTCATTCTTCCAGCTCCACCCTCCTCAGCTATCCAATACTGCCCTATACCTTCCCCTTCGCTGCCCCCTGTACATGGAACGGCTTTCCAGAAAAACTCACCTTGTCCAAGCATCTTTGAAACATCCAATACCCCATCTTAACCAAACAAAACTGTATTTTATTTATTTATGGTTAACATTTATATTAACCACATATACATTACCACATAGCCCAGAGGGCCGTCTGGGTGGTCTACAGTAAAACACATTCAACAATACATTAATAAAACAAGTATTACGTTGCTATAATAATTGGCCTTGTCCCCACAAAAGGGCCTGGTACCCAAACCTGTGTTGAACCAGTGCTGAATGAGTGCCAAAGGGTGATGCATCGATTTTATATATGTGGGAAACTGAGATTTCCTCCCCCGCTAATATGCCTCACTGTACACTTACATATGCTGAACCACCTTATTTACCTGAAGCAATCACATATTTCCCCCCTGCCTCACCATGCCTTCATTCTCCTTCTGTTGTGTCTTTCAGTTTCATCTTCAGCTGCAAACCCTGTCAAACATATGTTTGTAAGGGACCATGATGACAATGATGATGTCACAGAAAACGAAGCAATAAAGCAGCCAGAGTTCCTGCGAACGGCCTGGAATTCTTCCCTTTTCTTCTTCCCCACCAAACTGAGAGAGAAGCTCCTCCTGCCCTTTTCACAAAAAATGCATAGAGAAGGAGGGGATGGAGAGAAGGAGGGCAGCTGTGGTGCTGCATGTTCCCATTCTCCCACCCCGTGGGGTGGGGCCAGCAGGGAGCCAGCAGGATCCGTACCCCCATCCCCCTCCACCCAAAAGCTGCTCCTGAAAACAAGTAGAACCCCTCTGCTATCTTCGCTTTCCAAGAGTACGTGCCGTGGAAGGCAATGCAATTTACATCTAAGTAGACAGGTTTATGGGGACATTTTCAGAGGAACGACGGAAGGGAAACAGCATGGCACTTACTCTACAGCTCACTAGGCATGTCAGAGAGCACAGCTTCTCATCTGGTCAGTGTATCAGCCCTCACGCAGTCACTGTAGCATCCAGTCATGGATGGCTGCTTGTTTTTCATCACTTCTTCTGATGAACAGAAGGCCAGGGGCATGGCTAGCAGGCAACTGTGCTTGGAAAGCCAGCAGCAGGGCGCAGGTGTGGGTGGACTCCTGCAGTGGGCCCAGAGGGCCAGAAGCAAGGGGCACGTTTGTGTAGCTTCCCACAGCCAGGGAGATGACAGAGTCAAGCCACACAGTCCAGGATCTCATGAACCCACCAGCACAGTCCTGAGGTCAAGTTCCAGAAGGACAGTACTGTCCTGGAGCAGGGAAGATGGGTGCAGGTGCTTGGGAATCAGGGCTGAGCTGGAGTCAAGGACTGCAGCAGGAGCAGATGGAGCAAGGCAGGAGCCCGGTGGGCAGGGCAGGGCAAAGAGCAGCAGTGCAGGGAGGCCTCTCCTGCTGGTCTCCGGGCCCTCCAGCTGCACTGCATGGCTGTGCCCAGAAAGGGCCTGTGAAGCTCCTGGTTCTGTAGGCACCTGCAGGGTCAGTCGGGCTCTTATCCTGACAGTGAAGATGAAATGGGAAGTGGGGCTGAATGTCATCAGCACCCTGGTGGCAACACGCTCCAGCAGCCACTTAATAGTTTAACACGCATGTTTACTAGCATGGGGGAGGACAGTGATGCCTGAGGAAATCTATGGGGTGGAACAGAGCAAGTATCTGCAAAGAATGGCCTTCTGGAGCCTGCCATCCAGGTAGGAGCAGAGCCAGCCCACACAGCACTGTCCCCCATGCTCAGCTTAGGCGGTCACTCCAGTCAGTGGCATCGAAAACGGCTGAAAGATTGAGGAAAACCAACAGGCTGCCATATTGAACAGTGCTAAATGTTGATGCCCCCAGGAGCAGCTGTCTGGTGGATCTCAGTGTCCAAGGCCAGGGGCCAGCTGGGGGGACGCCAGCGAACACCAGCAGTTTATCCTGCTGGCCCAGCACAGGTGCAGATGCCCCAGACTAGTAGCCAGATGGCCAGAGCGCTGGGAAGGCGAGATGGGGTGCAACTTCATAAGCCTAAGAATGACTTGCAGCTCTCAGCAAGTACAGGTGGACTGAAATAACCATTAACACCGAGCTCCTATTTTTAGTATTCTTTTAAATAACAGTGCAGTTTAAGAAATAAAAAGAAAAACAGTAAAGAAAATGTAGCAAAGAAACACCAAGGGAACTCAAACAGATTCCACACAGAACTTCAAGTAATACACATTTTTTTAAATTGCTGAAAGTCAATAATCATTATCCTCTGTAATCAGTCACTTCGTTAACATTCATTGACATTTCTATTAAATTGCAGTTCCTAAATGAAGCCTCAATGCAAACATCAGTCTCCAATACTTTTCCCAAAAATTCTGTTCCTTTTACACTTATTAATTTTACTGTTTGGTTATCTTTTTACATAGTTAGTCTTACCATTTCTGCTTATTCACTAACCTATTTTTCCAATCTTGTATAACTGAATTTCCCTTTGCTTACCATTTACGATGGTAAAGGCAATTTTAACTCTAGCCACCTACATAACTCTATTCATCTTAACTAAACTGACATTAACAACTATTTAAAGTTGTTAAAGGGAGTAGAACAAATATACAGGCATGTCTAGGTCAGGGCCATGGAGCAGTGAGTGTGCGAATGATTTGTATGCAGAAGATCCTACAATAAGAGATGACAGAGAAAAGGCGGAAGTGCTCAATTCCTACTTTGGCTCAGTCTGCTCTCGAAAGATGTACAACCCTCCTGATGAAGTACAAACAGAATGGCAGCTCAAGATTGATAGGCAAATAAGGATCCTCTAATTGTGTTAAATGAGTTCAGATCTCTAGAGCCCAATGAATTCCATCCTAGAGTCATAAAGGAGCTGGTGGAAGCATTCTCAGAACCATTGCCTATCACTGAGAAATCATGGAAGACAGGGAAAGTGCTGGATGAGTAGAGAAGGGCTAATGTTGTCCCCATCTTCAGGAAAGGAAATTATCACGCAATCATTCTGCAAACACCTTGAAAACAATGCTGTGATTACTAGATCTGTCAAGGTCTGTTGGCAGTTCAAGAGTACTACATCTGCCAACATCAATCTGTCAAGAACAAATCCTGCCAGATTAATCTGATTTCATTTGTTTAATTGATTAACCTCCTTGTTGGACTGTGGGAATGCTGTGCACATAATCTATGCTGAGTTCAGCAAAGCTTTTGACAAAGTGCCCCATGATATCCTGATTAACAAACTAGCTAAAAGTGGGCTAGATAGAACAACTATCAGGTGGATCCACAGTTGGCTACAGAATCAGGCTCAAAGAGTGCTCATCAGTGGAACCTTCTAAAACTGGGGAGGGGCAACAAGTGGAGCATCGCAGGACTCAGTCCTGGGCCCAGTGCTCTTCCATATTTTTATGAATGATTAAGATGAGGAAGTACAGGGAAACCAAAATCTGCAGATGAACCAAAACGGGGAGTGATACTTAACAGTTCTCTTCTTTGAACTTTTCCCGTTTATCTAAATCCTTTTATATTGTACTGTCCAAAACTGAACTTAATATGCAAAATGAGGTCTGCCCACTGCAGAGTAGAATGGAACTATGATTTCCCATTATTTAAAAGCCTTGTTTCTATCAATGAAATCAAAAATGGTATTTGCCTTTTTTGCCATCATGACTAACTTGTATTCAGCATGTGGTCATCTACAACTCCAGAATCTTTTTCATACATACTACTGTGAAGCCAGGCATTCCCTGTCTTATATTCATGCTTTGGTTTTTATTCCCTAAATGAAGACATTTGCATTTGTCTTTGTTAGACTTTATTTTCTTTTCTTCCCAGTTTTCTAACAAGATCATTTTTAATTTTGCTTCTATCTTCTAAGATATTACCTATTTCATCTAACTGTATCCTTTACAAATTTGATAAGCATTTCCCCATCTATTCTTCTAAACCATACACAAAAACATTGAAGAATGCAGGACCCAAGGCCAAACCCTATGCAGCCCAGCTCCAGCTTGATGAAGACACACACTCTGAGTATGGTTCTCCAGTCAACTGTAGCTCTACCTAGTAAAGTGCTCCTAGGCGTCACTCAACTAGATTGCGAAACAGAGCATCATGGAGCACTTTCTGAAATGCCTTGCTGAAATCTTTTAAAGAGCTTTTAAATCTGCAGGTTTTCCACAATATTAAAAGGAATACCAAAAAAACCCTTAAAAAAGAAATGTAATAACATTAGTCCGACAAGGGCTTGTTACTGGCTTCTATGGATCACTGTGTTAATGAAAAGATTCCAACAGGTGGAGCATTTATAATCTCTAGAATCTTCCTATGCCAGTCTATGGCAGACTGACAGCTGAGAGTCAAGCTTAATAGGAACATGAGTTATTTCAGGCATGAAAACTTGTATTATGTGGGCAGCTGATGAAAGGAAAGGGAATCAAGATAGCAGGTATCCTACTGCAGGACAATGGTATTGCTAGGCCTGGCTCCATGGTTCCTTGCCTTGGATCTATTTACCCGGACTATTCCACAAAGTGCTGAGTGTGCACTGGTGCCAGCTGAAAATCTTCTCAGCTTAAGTGTCAGATTGGGCCCTTCGCAAGGGGGATTTCAGATGGGGAGGGAAGAGTTATTTTCCCCTTTGCACATACTGCAAAACCTGCCCACCATGTGGCAATTAGGGTTAGCAAAACACTTTTTTTGATTGATTTGAGATGATATAGGTTGGGTGCAAATTAAGAATGTATTGGTTGCAAAATCAATTGGCTACCTTTGCTTCTTGTGAAATTTGAATGCATCCTATTGATCATTTCTAAATTTGCATATATAGCACCTGCAGATGTATGTCCTATGAGCCTGCATCCATAATCTGCCAAACAACACAAAGAATTTATCAGCTAAGCACCATTCTGTTTCATTCTATTTCACTTTGCCATCTTTTCCCGCATACTTTCTTTTGTTTTCTTTCTTCTGAGCATAGGATTTATTTTTCAATAGTTCTTTCTTTTTAACTTCCCAGTCGTCATCATCTTCATCCAGCTGAATTCCCTTTAATTTTGATTTTTGGCAGTACCTCCTGTGCTCCCCTTCAGCCCTAGATGAAAGGGAAAGAAAGAGCCTCATTATAAAATACAGCAACATTTCTCACAGCATACGAAATTGATCTGGCACATTCCCTCAGTAAAGCAATGTAATGTGTTCAGCACTTTATTTCACATTATGGATTATGGCATACATATTTGATGTCAGATTTAGGTTATAGTTTATTTAAATTTATCTGCTTGTGATACTATAAAATCTTAATTCCCAGTAAAAAAAAATAACTGATGCCTGCATCTTTATAGAGCTTTGCAGTGGATGGCCTTCTACTAGATATAGAAGCATTACATAAGTGTTTACAGCCAAGCTATGCTGATAGATTTTGGAATGAATATCTTTCTACTGGTTTTTCTGTTCTTGAAATTGAATTATGAGTTGCTGGAGTAAAACAGTGAAAGAGCAGCTATGCAAAAATGCAAAAATATACTGCTGATACTTACCTCAAGACCCCATGAGACTTGTAACTGGATTGGAAGATGGTAGGGGAACCTACACTAGGAACTGTAAGGCCTTACCCACCACTGGCTTGTCTCATGATGCTTACTCCAACTGTTCTGCTTGCCCTGTTTCAGAGATGAAATCCCAGATTTTTTCAGCCTGATTCTAGATGTTGCATTTTTTCCAAGGTGTACATTCCAGTGTGTGCTAAGCTGGTGGTACTGTAATGTGGAAAGGTCTGGCTCAACGGGGCTGAGCTGGAGGGGAGCAAAGCTGCAGGCTTTGGTAAAACAGCAGGGACTCTGGGAAGGAGACAGGTTGGATCAGGCCTCAGTTGCTGTCTCATCCCTCTCATCCCACTCCCTGCTCACTTGCTCGCTCGCTCTCTCTCTCTCTCTCTCTCAGACTTGCCCCTCATGCCCCATAAGGAACAATGAGTTGAGAACTGCCCACAGACATATCCATTCAGAAGTAAATCACTGTTTTCAGTGGTGCTTATACACATTTTATTTATTTACTTCATTATGCTTCTATGCCACCCCATAACCCAAGGGTTCTCTAGGAGGCTTACAAGATTCTAAACCAGCATATAAAATACAGTTTTGCCTGGACAGGATTCTACTCAGAGGCACACACTATCATCAGTGATACCTATTCAGAAGTGAATCACATTATTTTCCATGAAACTTACTCTTCAGAAAGTCAGCACAACAGCCTGAGCTTCAATTGCATTCAGGAATTACTTTGGGATGGAGGGGCATGGGGGTACTGATCCTTATGGCTTTACCCCATGGGATGTCAGAGAACAGCAGCAAGCAGTTCCACAGCCTCCCCTTCTGTCTCCCCCATCCCTACCAGTGGTTTCCTCTTCCATTTTAAGTCCACTGATTCACTCCTTTGCACTTCCACATGGCTTAAAGAATTTTTTAAAAAAGCAAAAAGCCTTTCTTTCAGTAAAGGATCATTTCTACTTCCAAATATTCCTGTTTGTCCTGCAACTGCATTTCTGTGTGACACAGGATCACATTTTCAGCTGAGGAAACTGCATTATATTCATTAGCATCCACAGTGGTAAATGCATTTCCATAAATACCGCGGCAGCACTACCTAATACATGGAAGGGGCTGTCATGTAGATACACCCATGGGGGAAACCCACTGCTTTTACCAGCCAGCACAATGCAGAAAGCTCTGTAATGGGCAGGACAATGGAGCTGAGAGCTGCCTTTGAAGGAGCCCTCTGTTTTGTCCAGGAGCATTTAAGTTCCCTTCTTTCCTTCCTTTTCCCAGGTCAGGTTTCAGCCTTGCAAACTTCATTTTATTTATTTATTTATTTATTTAAAACATTTTTATGCCGCCCCCATCACAACAAAGCCTCTGCTTACAATGATTTGCTTTCAGGGAGTTAGACGAGAGGGACTGCTCCCTAACATCTGTCATATGCCTTGCAGCCCAAATTTACAGGAGTGAAATTTTGAAAGTTGCAAACTCTTTTCTTACCAATGAGGTTTAAGAAATGTGATGGGCATATAAGACATAGACACTTCTATTTTTGTTTCAAGTGAATTGGTGACCTATTCTTTTCTACCAGCATCTACCGTTAAAGCCTCAAAGAAACGTGAGTTTGGAAGGCTTTAGAAATTATCTCAGAAGGACTTGCCCTCAGCCCAAGTTGCCAAAGTACAGGGCCTTCCCAGAGGTAGTGCTACAGCTCTTGGCAGCATTTTCTCTCCCTGCCTCTTTTTTGTGACCTGGAGAGAAACACATTTTTCCAATAGACTGGAACCGTTTCAATCTACTTCTCTTCTAATCTATTGTTATTGTAATGGCTCCTTTAGATTGAATTATTCTGACCTGTAATGTTTTAAAACATTCTTTTTTGTAACTTCATTGTATCTTGAATGATACGTTTAAATACTGTTTTAATGCTTTAACCAATACTTACATTTCCAAGAACTTAACACAATCTTTGTGCCCATAGATCTCTGCAATCCTCTTTGGTGTGTCCCCATACAAATCTGCAGCATCAATAGATGCATGCAAAGCATGAAGTGTCTTTAACACTCCTAGTCTCCCAAATTCGGCAGCAGAATGAGCCGGGGTCCATCCCGCTTCAGTTCTTAAGCAAGGCTGGGCACCATGCTCCACAAGTAGCTTTACCGTCTTTGAGTGTCCTGATGGAAACATAAACACAAGACATCGGAAGTAAAGCAGAAAGCAGATGACAGTGGAAGCGCTTTACTTACAGACATGGTCCAGGGACTCTGTCAGTCTGCCACAAAAAGCCTTTTGGCATCTTATAAATTATCTGTTACAAACTTTTAAAGCTGAATGTCAGTGCGCATTTCATCAAAACAAAGCAAAATGAGAAGACACATACATGGGAAAAATACAATTTTCTTACAGCAATTAGAATAATTCACAATAAGTGTATATGTAATGTGTATCCATAGGTATAAATGTGTGTGTTATACAACTAATAAGGAAGAAAGAGCCATCCATTTTTCCATCTGCTGATAGTGTCTCATTACAACCCATTAAAATATTGAAAACTCTGTTAGATCCTCAATCCACTCTGTTACAGTAGGTAGGTGTTTCCAGTGAAGTAATAGAAGTACTTTAACTTTTAAAAAGAAGCAGAACGCCAACCTTGTGATAAGTTCCATGCACCAGGTAGATAATTTAGAAGGATGTGTATATCTAATCTGAATGGGGAAGGTGAACATTTGGAACTGGTCAGCAAATAAGTCCTACCAGGCATATAATATTTGGAAAGCCAAATCCACACTCTTTGAGTGAAAGCTGCATGCTTTTCAAAGAAGAGGAGGAACCACCCCAACATCTGTGAAACAAAGTCTTTATGTTTTTTTAATCACAGCCAGGTATAAATTATTTACTGACATAAACTTTCATGGATAAGAGTTCTCTTCCTTGTATGAATGAAGTTGGCAGGACCCTGTTAAAAGGGAAAGGAACTGTACAAACTGAGGTCAAATGACCAGAAAAGGCAAGGGGCACAGTTTGTGACAATCATCTTAGTTTTGACACCTGTAGTTGGGGAGGAAAGCATTTCCCCTAAATTTAGCCAAAGAAGTTCCCGGGAGGCTTTTGAGCTTCCTCAAAAGCCAGCCAGCTCTGTATCTGAGCAGACGTTGATCTGATCTTCCGGAGGTGCAGGGGCTTCTCCTGGAAACCCAAAATGTGAGTTTCATTTGCTTGTGAAAAGTGATTTACATTCCCATTGCAGTGAGATGCTACTTTTTCCCCCGCCCTGCTTTTAATTCCCCTCTTTAACTAAGGGTAAGCTCACTTTTCCTGCTGTAAATTCCAAAAGGGAAAAATAAAAGTCTGCTGGGAGCCCCTTTGGGTCATTGTCCAAGGCCCGATGCCTGCTGTACTTTGAAAGCAGGTAATATCTACGACATTAACCCACTTGAGGGGACGCGGTGGTGCAGCAGGTTAAACCACTGAGCTGCAATCGAAAGGTTGGCAGTTCAAAGCTGAGTGACAGGGTGATGTCCTGCTGCCTTGTCCCTAGCTCTTGCCAAACTAGCAATTTGAAAGCATGTAATGCGAGTAAATAAATAGGTACCACTTTGGTGAGGAGGAAACAGCACGCTGGCCACATTACCATGGGAACATCTTCGGACAGCGCTGGCTCATGGCCTTAGAAAGGGAGATTAGCACCGCCCCCTGAATTATTTTCAAGTATCTTTTTACCCTAATGTGATAGTTAGGTGGATGGATGCATGGATTCATGGGGTTTTCCCAAGTCAACTGATACTTCTTTCTTATGCTTTCTTATTTATTTCAACTCTGTGAACACAGGGAGATTTGAATCAGTATTAGAATATAAGATGTAGATTCTAATACATCTTATGTGGAAATCAAATGTTTTGGAATAGTCCCAACTCATAACATGATCTCTCCAATACAGGACCTGAAAGAGAAGACTTCTAGGCAGGGGTTTCTGATGTGGTGTCTTGCATATATTTTACTGAATACACCTCAGAATGAGACCTGCTCATTCTTCTATGACTGTTCATAGCTGAACAATGGAACTAGTGCCCTCTTCCATCCAGACTCTGGAGCCTAACTATGATGATGGGGTTGGTCCAGTCATTTCAACCATGCAAAGGTCATGAGATGTCTTCAGTGGGATATATGGGGGAGGCAAATGGCTCCAGCCTTGACTCTCCCATTCCCAGGCTCTTTTGCTTCTACCTCCACCACATCACTTGGAGCGAAAGCCTTTCTATTTACCTTTTGCTGCTGCCCAGTGGAGAGGAGTTCTGTCACCCCAATCCACATCTTTGCAATTTGGGTCACACAGCCCCCTCTTCAGGATATCCTCTACTATGCGATAGTCACCCAGAGCTGCAGCTTCGTGAAGTTCCATCATTCAGTAATCTGCTAATAGAAACCAAGATAACAATAACTTATCTTGTAAAATTATTATTATTATTATTATTATTATTATTATTATTATAACATTTCTATGCCGCCCCTTGCCGAAACCTCGGGGCGGCTTACAACATGATAAAATACATTGAAATACAATAGTACATAATAAATTACCATTAAATATAAAAATACAAAAAATACATTGATTTACAAATACAAAATTAAAATTATCAGTATAAAATAAAAATATAGGAGGAGAAAGAGAAGGAAGAAGAAGTTGCCCAGGCCAGATCATATGTTTTAACAATTGAAATGATGTTTAAATAAAAAGGTCTTTACCTGGCGCCAAAAAACCAGTAACGATGGTGCCAGGCGGACCTCTTTGGGGAGTGAATTCCATAGGTTGGGCGCCACCGCAGAGAAAGCCCTCCTCCGGGTACTTACTCTCCTAATTTCTTTCATGGAGGGTTCCCGGAGAAGGGACTCTCCCGCAGATCTCAAAGGGCGGTCGGGCATATACGGACGTAAGCGCTCGTTCAGGTAGCCAGGACCCAAGCCGTTTAGGGCTTTGTAGGTTATAATCAACACCTTGAATTGGGCCCGGGCTTCAATGGGAAGCCAGTGAAGCTGATGGAGGACTGGAGTCATGTGAGCATAACGCCCCGTCCCCGTCAGCAACCTGGCAGCTCTATTTTGCACCAATTGAAGTGTTCGGACTGTCTTCAGGGGAAGCCCCACGTAAAGCGCGTTACAGAAGTCTAGGCGGGGAGTCACCAGCGCGTGTGTCACCGTTGCCAGGCAGTCGTATTCCAGGTAGGGGCGCAGCTGATTAATCAGCCAAAGCTGAAGGAAGGCGTTCCTCGCTACCGCTGTCACCTCAGCTTCCAAAGAAAGCTCCGGGTCGAGGAGTACTCCTAAGCTGCGGACCTTATCCCTAAGAGGGAGTGTTGCACCATTCAGGACCAGGTCAAATCCACCCTCTCCGAAACCCGACCAACAGGACCTCCGTCTTGTCTGGGTTGAGTTTCAGTTTATTGGCCCTCATCCATTCCCTTACCTTGGCCAAGCACCGGTTCAGCACAGCCACTGCCTCACCTGGATTAGTGGAGAATGAGAGGTAAAGCTGGGTATCATCAGCGTATTGATGATTCCGCAGCCCACACCTCCTGATGACCTCTCCCAGCGGTTTCATATAGATGTTAAATAGCAGAGGGGATAGAATGGAGCCCTGTGGTACCCCATGGCATAGCTTGTACAAATTATTTTTACTAAAGGAGAGGCAGTTCTGGTGGTTAAGACTGGAAGCAAGGAAGAAAAGGAGAACTAAAGACATTTCCAAATGAAGCAACAGTGTTCCCTATAAATCAGTTGTTTGCCTACCAGTTATGCTTATGCTGCAGCCCTATGAAGCATGTCCCATTCATATCAGGATTTAGAGGAATAAGACACCAAATCTTGCCCCTGCAACAAAGAAAGCAGGGTCAACTGAGTGACGCCTAATGCCTCAAGACTGTTGTTACTTTCTATGGAAACTGGCTCCTCCCATGTTAAAGCTGCAGAGGGATATTGGCAAAATAAAAGAAACACTGAGCAGAAAGCAGAGAGAGACTGAGTTCACAGAACATGCTGGCTTTGAAGCTAGAGAGGTTTAGTGTATTGTCCAACCTGGCATGTTTTTGCAGGGAGGCTAAACTTTGGTTTATACATCCAGATAAGTCATGGTTTGTTATAGGGCCTTCTATCTCTGCCCCTCTCAGTCTGCACAATTCCTTCGGCATCACCTGAGAACCCAAAGACCGAAGATCATCTTTGGGGCTGGTGCTGCAGGGGAGGGGAAATATGGCAGGGGAAATCTCAGCTTAGGGTTCATGTAGGTATTGTAGGGGGGTGCCCACATTTGCCCAGGCATGCCAGATCCCTTGAATAAAGGAGTTATTACTTCATCCTGGTGACATGTAGGAAAATGAGTTAAGTAACACAGGCACGATTGAGCAGGTGAGGATGGGAATCACCTGAATTCAAATGCACCAATCAGCATCCATGACAGGAAATCCATACCAATGAACCTTTGTCATTATTGCCTGGTCAGTGAAGGTATAAAACTGGAGTGCCCCATTGTTATAGGTCAAAAATTGCCCTTTTGCTTCTGATTGGACAATTCTTGAGAATAAAAACCATATATGTCATCTCTTGTGTTGGATTAGGCTAGTGCAGGATTAGCATTAGCAAACCTTGACATACAGGAAAGGTGCAGGGGCATAAATATAAGTTTATGTATCCATTCAGTAAACATTCAGTAAACAGAACTTGAGCCATCCAAAAAAAAAAAAAAAAAAAAGCAGAATGGCTTACAAATATTGCAGGGAAAATCTGAGGTTAGGGTTCATGTTAGGAAAATGGGACTCCTTACAAAGTCACAGAGATGTTAAAATCAATGGAAAGAGGTGACTAAAGGTAGCAGCCAAAATTATGAAAGTGAGAGCTGCAAGTGGGGAGTATATTTGAACACATGGGAATTCTCTATGGCTGCTAGTTTTGGAGAAGCATAAACAAAGGGTTCAGGTAGGAAAACCCTGACATTAAGGACAACTTCAGGAGCCTAATGTTTCCCGGTCAGGGGCCTGCAACTTGAATGGTCTAAAAGCACAACCAGAGAGATGCAGATCTGCACTTGAGTGACTGTACATTAAAACACCATAGAAATCTAGCAGGGGAAGTCTAATGCTAGGGATATAGTTGGGAAATCAGGGCTCTGCAGACAGGGCCAAGGACCTGGAAATCAATGGGAAGGGGCTGCCAAAGGTGGCACCACAATGACAACATGGAGAGGTGCAAATCGGCACAAATCCCTGAATTCATGGGAATTCTTTATTCCTGTTCAGTTTGCTGAAAATGTCCACACAGGGTTAAGCAACCCTGACATCCAGGAGTGGTACAGGGGTCTCAGAATTCCTGCTCAGGGGCACAGGACTAGAATGAACCAAAAGGAGGGCCAGATGGATGCATGTTGTACTTCTCTGATTGTACATGCAGTGGAATGGCAGGGAAATATTGCAGTGAAAATCTCAGGTTAGGGGTGGATCCAGAAAACTGTGGTCCACAGACAGTCCCAGGGGCCTGGAATTCAATGGGAGGTGGCTGCTGAATGTAGCAGTCAAACTGTTCACACTGAATGGTTCAAATGGGAAGTACACCTGAATTCTCTATGGCTTCTCTATGGAATTCTCTATGGTTTCTCATTTCAATGAAAATGTCCACTTAGAATTAGGGTTAGGAAACCTTAACATCCAGGACATGTCAAGGGGCCTCTGAATACGTGGATTTAACCATTTGTGTATTTGCTGTTATCAGTGCCAGTTTTAGCTTCTGCAAGTCTTAATCCATGCGCCCACCTCCTTGCAGCTCCTCCCTTATCTCCAGGCAAGGCCCCTAGAGGGATGAGCAATGGGGGGCAGAGGCTGTTGCTCCCTTCCCCGTTCCTTGTTCCTGCCATTTGTCCTTTGGAGGGGATGCTTGAATGGACAGTAACAGCAAGAGGAAGGAATGGCAGGACCATGGGCCTCCAGGGCTGGCAGAGCCCCCTCTGCTGGGGCATGGGCCTTAGCAGGTACCCTACAGGGCTCACCCCTAGTACTCATGACCACAAACAGGGCTTTCGATAAGCTATAAGGGCAGGGGAGGGAAACAGTCCCATGATGTAAAATCAGGCTACCGATCACCCAAAGGTTGTGAGTGGTTATGTCAGAATGACATCACAATACTTCTGGAAGGACTTTTTCTGTTGAACTGACATCAACAGGAACTTGTAAGAATGACACACACACAGGAATAGGGAGCTACTGTTAGCTTATTTATTTTTAAATGTAGCAACTTACTACACTAAGGCACAAAAGACAGCTGCAAATATGACACAAGATAAAAGAGGGAAGAGTGGTATCAGAACAAATTACAACTCAGCAAAATCAAAAACCTGTGATCAAAGAGCCAAAAAGAAACTTTCTGCCACTCTGTTGTAAGTACAGCAACATTACGTTTGAGAGGGTGTGGTGAAAGGTCTCCAGTAAAGCATTCCCCTTCCCTGGACACTCAAATTGTTAAGGGACACAGGGAGGGTTTGCATGACACAACAAGGCATGGTGGTTTCTTGGGCAGGATCGTCTGTCCTGTTGCCCTGCCATGGTATTTCAGTATGGTTCTGTGTTTTTCACAGTCCGACTGATAAAAAATGTCTGATTCTGTGTTTGAACTCTTTGTAAGCTTGCTGAGACCTCTACCAGAAGAGTGCCCCTCAAGTTGTAAACTGTGTTTATCAGTGACAGACAAAAATTCACAATGTGTGTGTGTATGAATGGAATACTACCGTAACAAACTGTTCCAATAAAACAGCCACTACTGCACATGATATGGCAAACATCAGCAATCCCTTGGGTGGGTTCAGATGATAGTTTAAGCCGTCCTACACAAAGACTCTGGACGAAAAGTTGTCTCAGATCCCTGCTGAGCCCAGCTAATGCTCAGGGAGAGAATCGCTCCTGAGGCACTGCTTCCTCCTTTTCCCCCCAAGTCTTCATATTGGTATCCCATGGGACGATGCAGGAACACCAGGGGGTGCAACAATGACAGGGGTCAAAGGTGATCACTTTCAGCGGCTGTCATCTGCTTCCATGCCCTGTGCTCCTGACAATACCAGGAATCTCTCAGCAGCGGCAGGAGCATGGAAAAGATGGGCGGGGGGCGGGGTGTTCAGGCCATCTAATGCTGTTTGGAGGCCAAGGGCTGGGTGGCCTGTGCCACCCTCCCATCGCTCAGCTGTGCGGCAGCTCAGCTAGGCCATGCCTGGGTAGCTGTGGGAAGGAATGGGCTGCCTCATGCTGTGCTTCCAAGCCTGGCATGCGAAGGCCATGCCTCTCGCATCGCCACTAAGCCATGATGTGGCACCACAGCGGAGCCCAGGGAAGGAAGGGTCCCCTCCCCGCTGCTCTGTGTGGCTCAGCCAAATAGCAGGAAGGGGACACAAGGGCAGGCAAGGGACCAGAGCGGGAAGCAGTTCCTCCAGCTGTGTCATCCAGGGAGGCCAGGGGAGAGCCCTGCCTTCCTCGCAGTGCACAGCTGCTGCTTGGGCAAGCACAGGTGCCCAGAGGGAGAAGTCCCAAGCTGCCCTGTGCTGCGCTTCCTCAGCGGGAAAGACAGTGCCAGGCAGCTTGGCTTCCCTTCCCACACACCTCAGGTAAGTGCCAGCTGCACAGAGGAGGGAAAGGTCCTGGGACACCTGCTGCTGCACTTCCTCCAGGGGAAGCACAGCACTGCGCTGCTTTTATGATCATCATTATCATTAGACTTACACGTATTTTCCTTTCTATGCCTCCCAGTAGCCAATGCTATGTGAGCAATGTGCAACACCTCCAATGCTATAACATCTGATCAAAGTGCAATCATTTTAAAGTACAGCTGCTTAGTTTCCATTCTCCTGACCTCCCCTGAGCAGCACCTGAAGGAACCCCACCAAGGGATCGTGGGTTGGGAGGAGGGCAGTCGAGCCAGTGGGGGGCAGGAGCCAGCATTAGTCCTTGCACTGAGGTTGAGCTCCTGTTCTGTGCCCCCCAAATTGCCACCACTGCAGGCCTTTGGGCTGCAGTCACACCGGCTGTGTCTCCCTTCCTTTTGTTCCACAGAGCCAGGGCAGAATGGGGAGGGGCATGAGTTGCCCTGTGTGGGCCTAGCCTAGTCAAGCTTAAGTCAGGCTGCTAGTATAATGCAAGGGATGCTTTGGGCGAAAACACAGTGGCAGTAGAGTTCTGCCTAGGTCACTGCTGCCAGCACGTGGAGATCAGCTTTGAGAGGAAGGCTTTTCACTGGAAAAATTTCCTCCCACAGTGTTGCAGTCCCAGTCCAAAGACTGTAGATAGAATTCCACATCAGATTGCAGATCCACCTTATTAAACTCCTATTTGCATAGTCAACATTTAGGGGTTTATAAAAAGCAGCACTGTTCTTCGGTCATTTGGTGGCAATGCCTTCCTGTTTAATGCACACTGCATCAAGAGAGGTGAGAAATTTGGGGATGCACTTTTGTCACTGGGTTTCTAATTCTTTTGGTGGGATTTTTCATAGTGCCACCACAGCAGTGGGATTTTCTGTCTTTGGATAGATCATAAGAACGTAAGAAGAACCATGCTGAATCAGATCAAAGGCCTGTCTAGTCCAGAGTTTTGTTCAGACAGCAGTTGACTAGATGCCACAATGGGAAGCTCAGACACTGAGAATGTAGTAGCACTGTCCCGCCTGTATTTGCCAGCACTTGTTTTGGAGAAGCACAGTCCTTCGGCGACACAGCCATCATGACTAGCAGCCACTGGGAGCCTTATCTACCATGAGGTTTCAGCATTTCCTTCCTTTCACACCTTTAAAAGGGCATTCAAGAAGTTTCTTTTCCAAAACATTCTGTAAGGGTGCAGTCCCGTGCCCTGTGCCTTCAGTGCAACCAAGCCTCTGAACTTGGAGGTTTATGAGCATCTTGTGCGTGGAATGCCATATCTTTTATCTAGACGGCCATTATGGGCCATCTATATAAAGCACCAGATAAGGGGAAGGAAGGAGGCTGCGGCGTCAGTAGGAACTGGTATAAGCACTTGGCCCCAGCCTCCTCCCCTTCCCAACCTGTGACATGCCCATTTTGCCCTCTCCAACACCCAGTTACAACCTTGGGCTGGGGGCACCAATGCATTTCTTTCTGTGCTGGTGGCAAGGGACAAAGTGGGGGCTTGGCCTTTGGATCCTGCTCAAAATTGCAGGATCTTGGAGCAGGTACTCTAACTAGTATCATGGCCTTCTAACGTCAAGACAATGTCCGGAGGCCATAAGTTGTGTCCTAGGGCATTCTAAAATCAACTTCTGATGTTTAGGTTATTTCCTTGTTTGATGGTCCTGCATTTTATATTTGGTTTACTTAACACTTTTTTAAAGCTGTCATGTTTTGCTTGTTCTGTTAGCCATTTTGAAATTAATTGAATGAATGGAGCAAGGGGGGAAAATGGTGTGTTCCTTGCAGGAGCCTTCTGGACACGGAGGATGAACTTTGCAACATCCAGTGGGATTCTATGCCTGTGGACGTGCGGGAGTGGTTGACTGGCACTTTTGCAAAGAAAAAAAACCCATACAGAAACAATCTGGAGGAAACAGCAAGTGTGCGAGCTATTTCATATACAGTCCACACTGGTGTTTCAGTAGAAAGGTAAGTGTGGAACTGATCATAAATAATAATCGTATTAATAGGCATGAAGAGGATTCAAGGATGGGAGTCCTATGGTTAATGGAGATTTTCTGTCATCCTTGATCTTCTCCCTTGAACCTGGATATGGGGAGGGGAAGACTAGACGTCGTTGTCATCATCATCATCACCACCACCACCACCACATTTATACCCCAACTTTCTTTCTTTCTTTCTTTGCAAGTAGATCAAGGGATTTACAAGGCTTTTCTTCTCTTTGTTTATCCTCCCAACTCTATGAGGTAGGTTAGTCTGAGAGACCATGACCTGCCCAAAGAGACCCAGTGAGTGCCATGACTGAGTGGGGACTAGCACCCAGGTCACCTGCTCCCAGTCCCATGTTCTGAAGCACTATGCCACCGTGGCTCTGGCTCCTGTTATGGCGACTCGTGTTTTAACCCCTGCAGGTGGACAGGAGCCTCCATAGGAACTGCCCTGAGAAAGGGGACAGGGCCAGGTTGCTGCCAGGATGGGGATTAAAACAGAGGCACCATGGATGGACATTTGCTTCCCTCTGACCTGGGAACTCCTGAGAAGGGTTTTGCTCACACTTTGGCTGGATTGCTGCTTTATTACTTTGGGGCGATATCGGTAATGTGGAATGGGACTAGTGGTTACTATTTTTTGCCAAGGTGATGTGTGGAAGAGTCTGTGTCCTCTTTGGAACTGGGGTGGTCTTGTCCTCTTTGCTATTTTCCCTAATCCTATTCCATAGCCTTCCCTGTTCCTTTTAACTCTGAATCCTCTGTTCCTTTCCCTTTTAAATAAACTTACATTACCATATTGGCCTGTCCTTTGGGGGCTGGGGGCAGCATTTGGTGCTAACTCAGTGTCCAGACAGAGGCGCAACTTATTTAGGGATGCAGAGGCCAGGCCTTTAGTAGGGTGCCTGACTGGATATATTCTGAACTGTGCAGCTGATTGCTGGTAAATTTAAAAGTGAAATTAGCCCATCTGGCAAATAAATGTTGCATCTCTGCCCCTTACTACCCTCCAACATGGATGTGCCACATGGGAGCACACACTGGGGCTGATGGAAGGGCCACAGCCTGCCCCAATTCCCCAGGCAGTTAGTACCTCCCCCTTCCTCTGCCGGGAAGCATCAGCAGAGTTGCTGAGAAGCAGACCTCTGGATCCAACTGGTGGGTTGAAGAAGTCAAAGGAGGACTCGTGACCCAGACTGAGGTGAAGGAAGTGAGCAAGAGAGCAGAAGAAAATTGGCGAGGGAAGAAGCTTGGAGGAAGGCCGTGGAGCTGAAGGGGCCCCAGGGCGAGGGGATTTGCCCCTCTGGAAAGTGCAACAGCTGCCTGTGAGTCTTCCAGCCCCATTCTCTTTCCTCTCCCAGTGGGCTGCTGGACTTTCAGTTCTTCCTTCCTTGGCAGGATTTCTGGGAGGGGGCAAAGAGGTGAACAGAGAAGATAGCTAGGCCTTGCCCAAACCACCCTGATAGGCGGTTTCACACCAGGCCCTTGTGTGGATCTGTGTTAGGGCCAGACAGGCCTACTTGCCCCTGCTGGCCTTTGCACGCCTGCCAAAAATGAATTGTTCCAGCCTCTCATCCTGTTTCTGTGGTAGGTGAATGAGAATCCTCATCTTCATATATATGCATTTGTTCATTTATCACATTTCTAACCCACCCAACAGTTTTCTGGGTAGTTAAAAATTAAGGGAGTAACCTTATGCCCCTCGGCCTGGATGCAGGTAAGCCTCTGATGCATGTGTATCCTATGTGTGGAGTGAGGAATGCTGGCACAGATCTGCTGCTGCTCTCGTACCAGGCATTTTATGGAGATAGCTGCTTTTGGCAGGCTAGAGAAAGCACTAGGAAAGGGGAGGGGAGCAGGCTGGGGTACTGGTAGGAATTGATGTAAGTCCATGCCCCCAGTCTCCTCCCCTCCCCACAGCACATCCCTTTTTCTCCAAGGCACAGTGGGGATTTCAGACTGGTGCCAGCATGGGCCTTTCCAGGCCAGCTGTGAGGGGACTGAGGTGGGGGCTGTAGGAGTGCACCCTGAAATGCTATAGAACAGTTTAAAATGCATGCAATGCAAACCTTTTAAAGAATAAAGTGCAGTGCAATGCAAAGCAACAAACAGCCATAAAAAATCTAGAACTCGGTCTCTGAAATGCCTAGCAGAAAAGAAAGGTGCTTGCCTAGTGCCAGAAGCTTACAGTGCAGGCACCAGGCAAACCTAACTGGGAAATTTATTCCATATGTAGGGTGGGAAGGCCCTGTGACTTGTAACAACCCATGAAGTTTTCTTCAGCAGAGGCCCCTGGAAAAGGGCTTCCAACAATGACAGAAAGGCTTCTTTAGAAATTCTGGGCCCAAGTCACCCAGGGCTGTAAAGGTTGCACCAATGATGGGATACAGGATGAGTTACCATATTGTGCAAAGCCAATCAAAGACATCCTGGCTATATTTTGGCACTGGCTGACTCAGCACTGCTGTGCTCCAAGCACAACTGTGCCCTCTGTATAATGGGCCAAAAGGGATTTTTATAGTCTACTCTTTGTAGGTTCATCTGCAATCTATGGAATGCGCTCCCCAGAGAGGTCCGCCTGGCGCCATTGTTATTTGTTTTTCAGCGCCAGGCGAAGACCTTTTTATTTAAGCGTCATTTTAATTGTTAATATTATGCTTATTTTATCGTGCCCGGGCGACTTATTTTATATTGTTATTTTTTGTATTTTAACTTTATGTTGTGAGCCTTCCCGAGGCTTCGGCGAATGGGGCGGCATAGAAATGTTTTAATAGATAGATAAATAAATATTATCTGTAGCATTTTTTCTCATATATAAGCTGTATGTTACTGTGTGGTGTGTACAGATGCCTGTAATTGCACAGAGCAGCCATTTTGGTGTAGGGCAGCACATGTTTTGAATGAGCAGAGTATTTGTGTTCTTCTTCATGGTCTCTGTGCATCACATATATGGGCTCTGTGCCTGCACAGGGCCTATTGTCAGGAAGATTTGCCTAGGTAAGCTCATTTTGGTGGGAGCCCAACCCATCTCCCTTTGGTGTCTATAGGAGGGGCTCCCTCTATTTCCCACAGTTCTTTTCCAAGTGTTGTTTTGGGTACCTTGGGTTAATCTACCTCTTAGCTCTTTGTTCCTAGCTTCTTTGTTTCCAGCTTCTTACCTCAGCTCTCCGAGAACTACTTCTAAATTCTTATTACCTTACTGCTTTAATCCAATTTTCTCAATTGCATACCTGCTTATTACCTATTCTTATCCGACCCCCCAAGCCCCCTTCTTTTTCATCTTACCTTGCTGACCAAATCTGAAGCCATCCCAAGATGTTTGTAGTGGACAGGTTAGAAAAGCTTTTAATAAATAAATACATGAATAATAAATACATGTGTACCTGATGAGAAGCCTAGGAAAAAGAATAACATACTCTCGCTTCTTACACATGTTCTTGGAAGGGTCAGTGCCTATGGATAATTAGGTATATCTTGGCCATACTCCAAAAAGCACAGGGGTACACCTGATTCTTCCTCCCATTTTATCCTCACAGCCACCCTTTGAGGTATATTAGGCTGAGAGACAGGTCACCCAGGGAGCTGCATGGCCAAGGGGGGCAGGGGGTTGATCCTGGATCACCCAGTCCAGTCATAATCCAACAATCAAGCCACTATAACCCACAGGCTTAATTTGACTTAATCTACATTAACTGTGTATAAGATTAGAAAAGACTGTTACTTTCATATATTTCATTTGTTTTCCTAGGAAGTTCCGGGCAAATACCAGCTCAGTCGGCATGGCTTATTCTCTGGAAGTAGTACAAGCTTTTAAGGTGAAATCTTTGCTTTTCAAGCAAATAATGTAATAGTCTAAATAATATAATAGACTTCTAAAGAGGACAGACTACATGGAAATTTAAAATATTTATGTCACAATACAAGAAAGGGAGGGAGGGAGGGAGGGAGGTCTATTTCAGCTAGAAAATGAAATATATTAAAGTAGTATTGTCACTGGTGATATATGCCATACCTTTTGCTATACTAGATGTCATAAAAATAAAAAGAGGAGACTTGACTAGATGGTCTGCAGACCTTCAGTCTGCTAATTGTTAATGAACAACTCCATAGCCCCTGCTTCCTGTAGGGCACTTTCACTTTAAATCAGATTTGGACTGGACTGCTCTGAAAATAGAAGACACCTTCAAATAGGATACTGCCCTCTACCACCTCCCCAAAATAGAGAACTGTTCTTTGTGCAACAGAATATCTGGCTACTTCATCATTATGGGAAATCTGAATGCAGCAAACTTGGGGAAGCAATTTTCATCAAGAAAATGGCAGAGGGCATCTCTCTCCCCATTGCTGGAGTCCAAATCTAAACTCCCCTCTCCCCTTTATTTGGTAAAACTGAAAGAGATTCAAGATTTAATCATAAAATCCAAAACATCTGGTGAGCATCAGGTTGGGAAGCACGGCCTATAGCTTATAACTTTCAGGATGTTGTACAATAAAACAAAACCAAACCACAAAACCAGGCTCTGTATCCATCTTCGGGAAAGTGCTGCATGTACATTTAGGGCATCATCACCCCTCCCTCAGATGCACAGAAGCTCTGAACTTGGAGGCTGGGTGCATTCAGTGGCTGGAGTAAGATGCAGCAGCAGCGGTCTCCTGTCCTCTGCATTTTAACCAGACAGCCATTGTTCAGTTATCTGAATGAAACACTGGAGTTGGGGAGGGAAGCAGGCTGGGACACTGATGGAAAGTGTCATACCTGGATATTCTAGTGTTCCCTGTTTCTGGGAGGTGCAATGCTCCTTTTAGAGAGACAGCTGGTGCAGTTCCTTCCATGCTGGCTGTGACAGGGGTAGGGCAGGAGGTCAGCTGTCAGAGTCTGAGTACTGAGGACCCTCTGAGAACTTCCGTGCTGGGACTCTGAAGAATCTTATGGAGATTCTAGAAAGTGTAATTGGAATAGTATTTTATTTTTGACCCCTGAAATGTGTACCAGCACCCACCCACATGACACATGCACAGATGCATATACGCACACACGCACGCGCACACACACACACACGTTATTCTTTTGGAGTTGTGCAAGTGTACTCTATCACCTTGCCAGTATATGCAGTTTTGCCTGGTCTATTGCTTTGTCAGTTACAGCTGTCAAAAAAAATGGTAAAAGGAGCCTTGATTGCTTATAGGCCATATTGAAAACAGTTGATAGCTGTCAAATGCCTAGCTGTCAATTGGAACACCCCAGAAAATAGAAGAAATGCTACAAAGGTAAGTCCATCCAAAGTGTGTGTGTGGGAGGGGGGCAAGGTGGCTATAGATCTCCCATTTAGCAAGGTAATCTTCTGGGTTTTAAGTGTGAACTGACACCTCCCAGTGCCTTCTGCCTTCAAGATTCTTTCCAAGTGTCCAGCTAATCTGCGAATGGAAACTCTTAAGGCCACCACTTTTTCAGAGCTCCTTTGCTAAACCATCACTGCAATATCCTCAGAACTGTAAAAGGAAAGAGGGCCTTATTTGATCCATCTTCTTATTCTAGCTCAAAGGTTTCCTTCCTGCCTGCCTTCCTTCCTTAAATGGTCTGTGAAATTTGCTGGGATATATGTGTAGATTTCAAGGCTGGAAAATAAATGGAAGGAAAATTGCCATTGTTGCTGGCTGTTACTGGTAATAGCACGGGCTAAATCTCCAGAAGCATCAAAAGGATCTTGCTGAACATCTAATTTGCTGCTTCCTGTAACTCACAGGCTTCCTCCCACGTCAGTCTTGTGGGGCTGGATGAGATGACAACCTGTCGGGCTCACCATCAAGCCAAAGATTAACAGGGTGACTTGTTGTGCTCTAACAAGCCTACCTGTGGGAAGCAGGCAGGGTTCAGACAACACAACCCACTGTGCTTTATTACACAGAATGGGTTGCGTTCTCATGGAAACCCAGTCAGTGTCTCTGGGGTTCTGTCACAGTGTTGCTCTGGAGTGATAACAGTACTAGCTAGAACATGTTTCCCTGGAAGAAAGTCCTAATGAGTTCCATGGGATTTACTTCCAGACAAGCGTATATAGGACAGCAACCTCAGTGTAGCATAAAATAATTCAAATGGAATTGATGAGAAAAGTTCTGGGCAATTTGAAAACATGTCCAGAAAGGACGGTATGAAATGACTTTTAATTAGGTTTGCTAACAAAAAATAGTCATACTGTAATGAAGGCAGTTTCCTATATCAGTTTTGGACTTTCAATCTCCAAAAGATGACCTATGGGGTACTTCCATGACTGTGTAACAATCTACAGTAAAGTAATAATGTTGACTTAAATTACTCTAATGAAAGACGGTGGATGAATATCAGTTTATTATATACAAGCTTATAAAAATCTGCTGTAACTACTTTCATTAATATAAAAATTACTACTGGCCTCACTTTAGGAAAGAAGTATATTTGCATTCATATTTCTTTTCCAGTTGTCTAGGAACCCAGAAGTGATTATTTGCTTATGTTTTTCACCACCAACAGGATGTTGATAATTGGGATTTTAATGTGTTTACCTTAAATGAAGCTAGTGGAGGGCATGGTTTGACATGTATCATGTGTGAGCTGTTCAGCAAATATGACCTACTGAGCCATTTCAAGGTCAGGAACTTAATGAACCTTAGTAGGTTAACCAAGTAGTAGAAGCATGCTAAGTCTGATAATCAGAGTGTCTTTCAATTCCATATTCTTGACTAAATGGTAAATTATAATAATGCAATATCTGAACAACACATGTTTGAAGGCTTACATGGAAAACCTTTAGTCTCTGCGGAAGGCTAGAAGAAACGGACAAGTATGGAATAAAAAGAACTTTTTCATACATGGTGCAGAAGAATATAAGCATCATATTGCCACCTGCCCACTGCTCACTCTCTCACACACAGAGCATGTCTACAGTGCTGTCATGAATTGGTCAAATTGGGCTTTCAGTGACTATTTACCCTTGTAAATGTGGTGGGTAGTAGAGAAGCTAATGCCCTCTCTCCCCAGAGCTACTTGGCAAGAACAACAAAGGTAAGTGCAAGCTATATGTCTCATGTATTATCTCAAGTATGGCTTTTCCTGCAAACTATGGTTCCTCTGGCAGGGGCCTAGGCAATGAAACTGTTTCAAAGTCTTAAGTGCAGGTATGCTTACCCAAACACATAAGAACATAGTTTTGTTCTATGTAGTAATGGACACAGCAACATTTCCTTGCTGGATCCAGTCAGGTCTTCTGACTTCAGCATTCTATTGGCAACACAGGGCCTGTCTAAGCACCAGGAGCTAGGACATGAGCAAGGCTTTTGGCCAAGTGCAGCTGCTTTCCAGGAGCCACCAAGCCCCAGGTTGCTGCCTATTTATTCCCGTGCTTTGGCACAGCTTATTTTTTCCCAGGTTTATGTACAGCTGCCAGGCATTAATTCTTTCTCTTTGGCACACAAGTACTCCTATCGTGTGCCTTCTCCTGACACCAGAGTCAGAGCGGCTTCCCATTAGATTTCCCTGCAAAGGATTAGAGGGAGCAACTGTATGCCTTGCATAATTTGAGACACATCTCTGATTTCCTGCCAATCCTTTATCCGACTTCCATAAAAACCAGGACAGCCATTTATTTAAATAAACGAAGTTGTTGTTGCTGCTATGTGCCATTAAGTCATCTCCAACTTATGGCAACCTATGAATGAAAGCCCTCCAGGTCCGATTCAAGACATCCCTGCTTAGCTGTTTTAAATTCAAGGTTGTGGCTTCCTATCTGGAATCTATTGTCAGAATCCCAGAATCTCAACTGAGAAGAGGAAATAAAACTCGGGTTCGTGGGAAAGATCAAGCGTCCAGACCATCTTGGCTTTATTGTATTACCCAGGTTTCTGTGGTAGACTCACGATAATGCATTGCTGGGCAGGCAGAGGTAAACTCTGCTGCAAAGCTTCAATACCATTGCAGGGTATTTTATAGGTACACAGGTACAGAGCAATTGACAGAATGCAGACATTACAATAAGATTCTGAGGTCATCACGTACAGAACAGATAAAGAAATGTCAGTCAATCATACAGAGACAATGAGATTACAATATTTCTGATTGCAGTGTACTGACACTTTAGTTGAGTAACTTGAACCCATCTCCAGGTCTGCTTAGATATGTAAATTCAAGCTACTGAGAAACTATGAACTCAGACCCTTATCTAGACTCTAGAAATTCTGAATGACCAGGGCACATGAAGCCCTCTGGGCTAGGAAGATGCTTCCTGGTAAACTGAATTCCAATGCCATTTTAAACAGTGACTTAGCTTGGTTTTGAGAAGGAGTACAGGATTTGATCCCACAATGCAAAAGCACACAGAAGTAATGCTTTTTAGACAGGATTTGTCCAAATTTTCCCAACACTATCCATCTCTTATTTGCTCTCCCTTTTCTTCTTCTGCCTTTGTTGAGTATTCCATAAACATCTGCAACTGAATTTAAAATGAAAAAAAGGCCTGAAGAAGAAAGCACATCTTTTCTTTTCTGAAGCCTGAAACCTTTTCTGTGTTTTTCTTCTTTCTGCAGAGTCACCTTTACCTATTAGGACACACTGATCAATGCATAGATTTTTATTCCTAGGCAAACTTCACAATCTCCACTTCACACCTCTCACAGCTTTTTCTGCTGTGAACATGGCTGTTAAGATGTTTCAGGGATCAAGAGTTAAGAACCACAAAGCACCTATTTTTCCTATTCCAAGTTCAAGATGATGAATCATATGACTGAAGTAATAAATCCCTGCAGCAGTCTGACCAAGTCATTACAGAACTGTTGGACAGAAATGGTATTACTAAGCAACTTTGCTAATGTCTTGATCTATATAGTCTACCAGAAGCAAATAGAAAATAGGAGCACAATTCTACATCTTACAGTAGAAAGCAACCATATGATGCAAGGGGGAGTGGAGGGGGAGTCATGAGAAGGAGGTGTGCTCAAAATGTAAAATTTGTTCATATGCCCTACACCTGTTTCATAGCCTTATGACTCAATATAATTTTAAAATTTTCCTTTATTGCATTTATATCCTGCCTTTTCTCCTGCAACTTTCCCAAAGCAGTGTACATAATCTCCCTCTTCTCCCTCTCTATTTTATTGTCACAACAGCTCTGTGAAGTAGGTCAGGTTGAGAGTCAGTGACTGGCCTGAAGTAACCCACTGAGCTTCATGGCTCAGTGGGCTCTAAGACCCCCCAGTCTCCTGCTCCAACACTCTAAACACTACACTGCATTGGTTCTCTAGTGGATTCTTGAACAGAAAGGACATTCAGCCACTCCTGTGGGTGTTTGAAGGTATATCTCACATTTCCTGGACATTCTGCCTGCTCCTGTATACATTACCTTGAAAAAAATAAAAAGGAAATCTCATTTAGTACCGATAAGATCAAACCCCAATCTTAGATTTCATTTGCCCAGCTGATGTAACTGAATGGTAAGATCAGAGCAAAGTTTGTCATACAGAGTACTCTTGGTCTTGTGAAAAGTTGCTATAGAAATGTTGATATCTCTTTCTTGCATCCTACAGATCCCTCTTACCTGCCTAGTTTCATTTGCAAAAGCTCTAGAGGTTGGCTACAACAAATACCAAAACCCCTATCACAATTCAGTCCATGCCACAGATGTTACCCAAACTGTGCACAGCATCATGCTTCACACTGGAATCATGGTAAGAAAAGCCCTAAGCCAGACACACAAAGTCTTTTAGGATACAGATAGTTCTCCTCCACACAGAATAATTTGACAGCCTCTGAAATGCACCTGGTTTTTTGATAGTTTTTAACTAATGCGATTCATCTGAAAAATATTGCTGAATCACACTGGAAACATAACTTAGAAATCAAGAGATGTACATGGAGTTGACGTATGACTCAGCAGATTCCCATTGAAATGATATGGCCTTGAACACTGCATCCCCTTTGGAGTTTTAAGCAGGCACTGTGGTTTGAATGCCTCTGTGCCTGACAGACCATCAGGAGCAGCAGGCTGGTGCTGCCTCCTCCCTCCTCTTCCCCCCACTCCCTGCTGTATCCCCAGAGACATTGCAGGGTCCCTGAGATATCCCCCAAGTCAGGGCTTGACCTTTTAAAAAATATCTCTGTATATTCCACACTTGGGAATATACAAGGGCCACACAAACATCCTCCAGAAAAATCTTAAGTTTCTGCTGCAAAGGAAACTTTGCACACCCCAACCTTTAAAGGATTTTTTTTTGGGGGGGGGGGAGTGGACAGACAGACCCTGGCTTAATTCTCCTGCTTCCAAGCAAGATCTCCAGGGATCTTGGGGAGTGCCCCAGCTGCCCACTTCATTTTGCAATTTATCCAGAGTGGGAAGCACCTTGGGAAGTAGCTAAACCTGAGAGGAACCCACCCCAGGGGGCTTGAGGCTTGTGATTTCAAGGGATAAACCTGCCTCCCTGCATGGAGGGGTTCCCCAAGGTTTGAACTGCCTCAGCTACTGGCAGGAAGAAGGGAAAATCCTCCCTGCAGTTGTCCTGCAGCACTGTTTTGGCACTTTGGGGTGCCTGGGAAAGGGAGCTGCCTATTAGCTCTGCAGCTGCAGCAGCAACAGAACTATGCCACTCTTGCCAAGGAGCTTCCTGGTTTCTTGACTCTGTCATAGCTCATTTTGTTATCTGGGTTCAGGTAAAATATTAAGTCACTGTGGATGAGTTATTAAACCCTTTTACAAGCCATGGCTAGTTGGAAGCGTTTATAAGTTACCCCAGGATGGCTTATACATGGAAAATGCTAGATTTGGACAACTTATTAAGCCAGCACAGCTTAACAAGTTGTGTGAATTCACATATCATTGAGTAAGTTTGCAGAAAACATTAACCCACCAGGGTATTTTACCAGGGTCCTGCAGGCAAATTCTCCTGTGACTTCTGGCCCTCCCTTGTCCTCCTGCAGTATCCAGCAACAGGAGCACCAAGCACCAAGGAGAGCAGATGACAGTGTAAGAAGGCCGGCACTCCCAGACATTGCCACCTGCTTCCCCACCTGGCACTCCCGCGACCTTCCTGGCATCTGCGCAGTGTTGGGTGGGAAACAGAGTGGGGCCGGTGCCTGTTTTGAGGTTGGAAGCCCCGCATGAAGTGACCGGCTCTCCAGCTGTTGTGTGTGGCCCCGGAGCAGCAAAGAGGCCACCCATATGCCTTCCTCACTGATCAACCATGGCAAGCCATGGCTGGCCAGTGGAGGAGAGGGCACCCTTGGCTTGGTTTCCCTGGGGGAAGGCCCCACCTAATTCCCCCTCACCCACATCCTCCCACATACCTCCTCAGATAACGCATTGCCTGCTGCCTGGAGCAGGAGGGAGAGCCAGTGCCTGCCTCATCCCCCTTCCCGGGTTCTGGCTAGTGCTTAGGAAGGTGGTGCAGGGAAGGCTCTAGTGCCATCTACCTCACGTGCCTCTCCTTGGGAAGGAGGAGGGCACAAGTCAGGTGATGGGAAAGGGTGCTTCCCACCCCATTTCTCCTGTTCCCTGCTGGGGAGAATAGGAAACAAGGTGGGAGTGCCAAACCATTCAGCTCGCCTTTCCCTTAAGAAAGTTGCAGAGCAGCAAAGCAGCTCTCTCCAGCCCATTACCCCCGCAATGGCAGCAGGGGCAGGCATTTTCAGTCCCGTGGCCCTTTTCAAGTCCCATCAGACACCTGTGCCACAAGACTCCTTGGGAGGAAACAAGTGCCTGGGGCAGGTGACAGGAAGGAACGAGCTGACTCTGGAAGACTACAGCTGGGTAGTTCATGCCTTCCTCGCTCAGCAGAGCTAGTGCTCAGCATCAGGAGGTGGGGGCAGGGGGTGCTGAACTGCTCTCTTGCCTTCTCGTCAAGGCGGCACACTCCCGCGCAGCGCTGCAGTGTCAGTGGCGGCAGGCAGCATCCAGCCACTCAGTTTTGCTTCCTCATGAGGAAGCAAGATTGGGAGGCTGGTTCTCCCACCATGCGCTGTCTCTGGCAGCTTGCTTGCATCAGCAGGAATGCAGAGGAAGCCAATGACGGCCATGCTTTGCTGGCTGTCATCAGCTAGTGCCTCCCAGCTACAGCAGTGACACTTTTTCGCTGCTCTGGCCAGGGGACCCTTTCAAGTTTTGCTTTGTTCATGGCTTGGCATGTCATCTGTGTTCAGATGGCACATTAAGCCATGCTGGGTTAATTATACCCAAGAACAAACCATGGGTAACTGGAATGGTTTACAAATCACTCCATGGTTTGTAAACCTTGACCATGGGAAAAGTGTTGGGTGGCATTATAAAGCCACAATGAGTTACCACATCATCCAAACCCAGTCACCGTTTCTCCTAATAAAAACAGTAAAATGCTGCCTTTCAAGATTTTGAGAAAGAGGAGAATAAGACACCTGCTGTCATTAGTATACAGTTCAGCAGAAAGCTTTTTATATGACTCAAGAAATCCATAAACAGGACTTCCCATGACATTTAGGGAGGGGGGCTCAGTCCAATGAAAATTGCCTTGCTTGAAGCTGCTGTTTGTTCTGCAGCACAAAGCATGCAATAGAATTTCAATTCCAGTGCCCACTATCCTTTGTAGCTTTTAATATTTTCTAAAACAACAGGGGAATCAATTTACAGATCTCCTATCATGTGTAACTGTACCCAGAGGTTAGCTGTGTAGAAAACATGACTAGCTTTTAATTCTTTTCACTAGCACAAATTCACTGACCTGGAGATATTAGCAATTTTTTTCAGCACATCAATCCATGATTATGAACACACTGGGACCACAAACCATTTCCATGTTGAGACCAGGTAAGTTTTCTGTCTTAGCCAGATCCTATTCAACATCTGAAAGAAAGATAGACCAGAGTGACTTAGATGCAGTCTTATATCCACTTACCAGGGAGTAATTCATTAGTACTTAATTCTGAGTAAACATGCATAGAAGTATCTTTTAAGCTTATCATCAAATAAAAGAGTGCTTGCTGGTAATGAGCCACTGATTTAGTTTTGGGGTTGTGAGGAAGAAGAATAAGGGATAGGCCACAGGGATTGCTGAAGCAAGAGAAGAAATCATGGAAATGTTTGAATTATGTCAAGTTGCTAGGGAAACAGAACTAATGACGGGTTGGGGAGAGAGACTAGTCCTCCATGGTTACAGTTGAAAACAAAAGCCACAAAAATGTGTAAGAGATGGGGGGAGAAAGCAGAGCAAAGCAGGCAAATTTCAGATATCAGTTCTTAAAATGACCAGCTTGGAAGGAAACAGTTCAGGAGTAGTGGAGTCACACTGAGCAGAGCAAGCAGTGTGGGCCCCGCTTTCCATCTATTCCTCTGCTGCAGTCAGGTGGAAAGTCTACTGCTAGGTAACAGTCTGGAGACTACTAACTTAAACAGGCATGGATTTAAACAGCTGTATATTATCAAATCTCAGCATAACATGCCACTGAGAGTCTATAAAGAAAATTAAGTGTACATTCTATATGCATCCCTTTTAGGCCTATGGCATTAACATGACCATTTTTGTTTCCATTCATACTAGATCAGAAACTGCACTTTTATATAATGATAAATCTGTTCTTGAAAACCATCATGTGAGTGCTGCTTACCATCTTATGGAGAATGCAGATATGAACATTCTAGCCAGTTTAACCAAAGATGAATGGAGGTGAGACAATATAGAGGCAGGTAGGTAACTACCATTAATGTATATTTAATTACACACTTCTCAGTAGTCACTTACCTGAATGTCTGTAGCAAGTAAGCATTATTTTCAGGGAAATGGACTGGGAGCTTTATTCATGTCCCCCACCATTCCTCATCCTGCTTTTAGGCTACAATTAAGAAACTTGGTGATGAGTAGGCAAGCACATTTGATGGGCTGGTAAGTTGAGGTTTTATGTGCAAGGCCAGTCAGATGCTTCCACCATTCTTCCCACAGATTATGATCAACAGGTATGCAAGGCTGAATGTCCTTTAGGAAAAGGGGCTTTATTTATAGATTGAAATAAATTTCTCACTTTGCCTAATAGGTAAAGTGCAGTTGCTTATTAATGGAAGGTTGACAAAAGTGATTTCACCAATCATCATTCCAATGAATGCACTCCAGCTGTGTGTCCATAACACTTACTGAATTATATGGCTGTCCAACTTCTCAGCCCAGATGGACTCCCAAAGTGGCTTACAGTTGGATTCCTCAGATGATAATTAGAAAATAGAGAGAAGGATATGCCTGCTGGAGAAAGGAAGCGTGATTTCCACTGGCTTTTCCTTCTTTCTCCCATTCCGAGTTTCCCTTGCTTGGCTCGCTTGTTGTTTCTGTATGTTTTTAACTGAATCTTCAAAAAAGACAACACCAATATTCTAATGACTGGATGCCGATGTATATTTTTTACAACAAAAGAACTCTCACTATGTCAGCAACTGTTAGGCCATGTTGAACAAAAAAGCCATCCAGAAACATTCAGCAATCTGAGGGTGAGATTCTGAAGTGTTCTGCTGTCACAAAATATGCAAGTCCTAAGAGAAAACAAATTCCTATTAATAATATCAAACAGCTTTTCCCAACCCAATGCTCTTCAGATGTTTTGGAAATCAAATCCCATTATGCCTAGCCAGGATGGCAGAAGGCCAAGAATTCTGGGAATTGTAATCCAAAACATTTGAAAGGCATCAGATTGGAAAAAAGAATGGTAGAATGTAAAGGAATTGGCGGCTGATGCTGGTTGATTTGTTGTGTGAGAGACACTGTCACTTCCATTTAGGAGGGTCAGAGGAGCACTGATTTGAGGGCAGGACAGGGCAGGAAAACTGCTACAGTGGACCACTCTCATTCTAACGTTCAGATTAGACCAATTTATCCCTCGGGAATATCTCTAGCATAAATAACAAAAAATATAGCAAATGCTTTTATTAGGTATGCAGTTTTTGCAGCCTATTTTTGATTGCATCCAAAAGCTGTGAATTTTTTCTGTAGTTACTGAAACATTTTCCTTCCTGCCCCCAGCCATGAAAATTTGAAATGGCAGCATGGAAAAGACTAGCTAGAGTTAATCTGACCAGTACCAAAACCTTATGGAACCTAGAGAGATGGAAGAGGTAGCAATGATTGGGGATGCAATAATCAGTAGGTCAAGGAGAAGCACTTGGCCACATACCGTACTGGAATTTCTTTCCTGGGGTAGCAGGCAGGCAGCAGACACAGAACCTGGGACTCTGAGGGAGGGCAACACGTTTGCAAATCCTTATTTTAGAGTAAGTAAATCACCAAAAAAACATTATGCATCTATTTGCCTTCAGGGAACTACGTCGTCTAGTCATTATGATGGTTTTATCTACAGATATGTCATACCATTTCCAGCAAATGAATTCTGTGAAACATTGTCTGCGATATCTGCGACAAATGGAAAGGTTGGTTGGACTGAGTCGCCAGGAGGGTTGTCTGCGTTCTGATCTGGGTGCTCTGTCTGTGTGTGCGCACGCCTGAGCCTGTGTGCGTTCAGCATGCTAAAGTACCTTTGGCTTAAAAAACAAACCGTCATTACATACTGTCATTTTCATTTGACAGGGAACACAAAGATAAAATCATGTCCATGATTGTACATGTAGCTGACATAAGTCATCCAGCAAAGCCGTGGGTGTTACACGAACAGTGGGCACGAGCATTAATGGAAGAATTCTTTAAACAGGTGCCTTTTTAAAAAATACTAAGAATATCTTACAACCCCATATTCTGGTTATATCTTATAACCCCATATACCTTTTCAACGATTGCTTTATCTTTTACATGAATTTGTTTGGATAGTTTGAGCGAAAAGAAGCCAGTGTAGTATGCTTGGGGGAGTGCTGGACTGGGGTTCAGAGATCTGGGTTCCAGTCCCCACTTGGCCATGAAGCTCACTGAGTGAATACAGGCCAGTCACTCACTCTCAGCCTAAGCTACCGCCTAGACCACGGGCCCTCAAACTACGGCCCACGGGCCGCATCCGGCCTTCCGTGCCCATTTATCCAGCCCGCCTGGGAGGTTTTGGACTTGCCGCACCAGCGCCTGCTGCCAGCGCCCACCGCCGCCCACTTTGCTCCGTGCGTGGGGAGGTGGTGGCTTGCTCATGCAGAGATCGTTTTGGACTCATGCGCCCGCCGCCACCTTGTTGCGCATGCCCGCCCCCGCCTTGCCTTGCCCCCGTGCCCCACCCTCGCCTCAGTGTTTGTGCACGCCCTGCCCACCCCCTCGCCGGCCCGCATGCACCGCCGGCACCACCTTTCTGGCCCGCACCCAGCACTGGCACCTTTCAACTGTCCCTGTTGAAAAAGTTTGAGGACCTCTGTCCGAGAGTGATTGTGAGAGTAATTCTCTTGATTTTCTGTAAGCCGTCTTGGGTTCCTTTGAGAAAGAAAGGCAGGATATAAATATAATAATAGGAGTATGAGTATGCTGCCTTGAGTTACTTGAAAGGAAAAAAGTGGGATATAAAAATAATAAATATGGGCAAAACCCACATGTACAAGAATGCCTGTGACACATGCCTTTGCTTGATAGCTAGTTGGTTATTTTGTTTCTTCACTGGATGTGCAGCCTCACTGAAACCCCACAGTGGTTCCCAAGACTCATATCCTCACAATGACACATGACAGAACTACTGATCCAAGGCTTGTGGCCAGCAAGTCTGGCATGCGGTTTGCTATACTACCCTGCTTCTCAGAAATGTTTTCTCAGGAACAGATGGCAACTCTTCCAAAGAGGAGCACAGTGTGATCTGCAACCAAACCTTGAATGCATTTTACAGCATTCTGTAATCTGGATAATTACAATGGCTGTATCGCTGCAGTAATTTCTAGTGCATGGCAAGTGGGATAGGTCTCTCCTGCTGTGCAGTATCAGTCTCTTCACCACAGAAATAGTTACCAAATAGCAGGTTCTGCTGTGATTAACACAGGGCAGGTCAGTCCGTTTTTGTTCTGAGTATTTATATATATCCCCTAAATCTATACATGCTATCATTATCATTAACCATTTCATATGAAGATTAACGCCCAAACACAACGTGTAAGAGTTTGAAAATGTTGTTTTTCTGGAACTGTTGAGCAAAAAAAAAAAGAGTATTCAACCCTTCCGTTTGGGTTCTAAACAACAATTACAGGTGTGCAATGAGAAAATGAAACTTTCCTTATGAAGTTCACACTATGGAACTTGGGCTGGGCTGGATTGAGCCCTTGTAAGAACTGTAGTGGTGCCATTACATTTGCAGCTGGGTGTGGTGTGGTGGTTAAGAGCATGGGACTGAGCCTCAGGCGATCTGGGTTCTAGTCCCCGCTCAGCCATGGAGCCAACTGGGTGGCTTTGGGCCAGTCACAGACTCTCAGCCCAACCTACCTCACAGGGTTGTTGTTGTGGGGATAAGATGGAGGAGGAGAATGATGTAAGCTGCCTTGAGCCCTTTGTAGGAAAAAAGCAGGATATAAATCACAATATAAATAAATAAATAAATAAATAAATAAATAAATAAATAAACTAACCATATACAGTTGCCATAGCTGCATGATTCCCAAGATCACATATCCATGCAGCTCACCTGCCTCTCCAACCAGTTATCTGAGCAGTGCTGGACTGAAACATCTTTCCTCACAACAAACCCCCTGAAAAGTATACACTGTCTCTCCTTAGAGATGGAGTCTGCATAGGCAGCCAATGCTCCCTGATCAAATGTTCAGTAAGTACATTATGTACATCCATTTATGTTCACAGCCTGTGATGTGTTTAAATAAGGAAAGCCTTTTAAAATAAAGAACTTCTGGTTTTGTTTTCATAAATTTGTCAGAAATATTAACGTTCCTAATCAAGAACTCAGGCTGTATTCTCACATATTATGTTTGGATACTTAAACATAGGAGAATAATTAGTTTTCCATATTATAAATATTATCTCAGTATTTCTATGCCTAAGGCATAGTGGTGCTCCCTCTGCACACTTCTGGATGTAGAGGATGACCTTGTTCCAGATATGATGGTTGTTTACTGTATCTTGAACAATATATGCAAGCTACTTTGGCTACAGTATTCTAGCAAGTATAACACAGGCACTTCTGTAGTTCAGAGTTCTTTCAGAGCCAAAGATAGCTGAATGAGTATTTCCAGCTTATTCCTGAGTCTCTGATTCTGGATTTTTGGGGAGGGGTGACATGCTTCTTCAGAACATGCTCTTTTGTCATTGACCTCGCACCACCTCCAACAAAGAAAACTGGCAAAAGCAAAACATGTCTCCAAAGTGCAGCAGACCAATAGCAAAAATGCAGTGATGTTGCAAGAGACCGTGGGGTGTGGATTGTCTTGCAAAGGCACTCAGGATACATGCAGCTGCTGGCTGGCGGCAGTGGGGGAGGTGCAAAACAAGTCATGCCTAGCCCAATTGTCTTTTGGGCACATCATGGGTTCTTCTCTAGATAACCAACCTACTGTGGCGTAGCCACCAGGTGGCTTACTGTGCAAATCTGCCCCATGTCTTGTATGTATGTCTTGCTGTTGACTTTTATGTTCTAAAATTGGGGACTTTTTAGAAAGAGAATTTGGAGATAACTGTTATTTTCTTTAAAATGAATTATGTATGAGACTACAAGTAGGTTTAATTTATGAGATAGTGTTCTCCTTGTTTACTCGGTCTTGCGTTCTTCCCACAGGGAGACAGGGAAGCTGCATTAGGGTTGCAAATTTCTTCACTCTGCGATCGCCAGACTACCAATATTGCTGAATCTCAAATAGGTGATGTTCATTTAAGAGTAGTGTGAGTGGAGGAGTCAGTCTTTACATATGCCTTCTCCCAGTCCTTTTTCTCCTTGAAATCCATATTTGGTCTTTTTTCTCACCATTCAAAAAATAACAGAGGATGTCCCAGAGGAACTTTAAAAAATTGTTTGGTGCATAATCATCTCACTGAACATCCAGAGTGCTCAGACCCTCCTTAGGGAACTCCAGAAGCAACAGTTGCAGTAGGTAGCATCACTTTTCCAATTGCACAGACTCAGGTAAAGGTGCATCTCTTTTGCTGTCTTTTCTGTCATTGCTGTAGAGCTGCTTGCAGCTCCTAAATTGCCTGGTGCAGCTCCTCACTGACACTGCCCGCAGGCAGAGCAATCCTATATGTTGGGGGCAGGGAAATGATCCTCCACAGAGCCACTGCCACTGTCACAGTCAGAGTCCTGCCAGCTAGCAGCCAGGGCAGGAAGCCTTCTAGTTCTAGCAGTTCTTCGTCTAAAATATATTTTTCAAGCTACTCCTAGCTTAGGATCTATGATGCCACCCCCCTTCAAAATAGCTTGTTTAATGGCCAGTGGCTGCTGGCAACATGGCTGGTGGTAGATCTGCACCCAGATCCACAGAACATTCTGTGGGTAAATTTGGGTCCCCACAGCAGACAGGCAGCCCTGCTAGTGGAGTTCCATTCTGCTGATGATGCAGCACTCCCAACCCATCCTAACCCACCTGAAACTTTGACAAGGGTTAAGATAACTCCTTAGCAATACATCTTATACCATCCTGTCTGCTCAGAAGTAACCCTCATTAAGTTCAATGGGACTTACTTTCTGTTCAGAGTGGATAGGATTGCAGCCTATTCCTGTCCACCCCTGAGTTAAACAGGTTCTTCTTGTAGCACACATGAAATGCAGACCACATACTGTTTACCCTTAACATTGTACGTACGTGTATTGGGAGGCCTTCTACACTAGAGGCTGTGTCATTTGTTAAGCTAGTATTCTTTCAATTTGCAATTGTTACTCTGGGACACGCTGGAATGAATATTGCACAGTATCGAGCATGTCTATAGCACAGTTGGGTCATACATAGTGTGGTAACAGCAGGAGAAGCAGAAGGTGCCTGTACAATCCTGTGCATTTTATTCTTTCTGCCTATAGCACAAGCATTTGCCACAAGCCATAGTGATCCTGCAATTGCAGGATAAATGAGGGGGCAGGTGGGCTGCCCTTTCAGTTTCCTTTTTGTTTTCACTTTGTCACTAACTGCACGCTTTCCATCACTGCAGGAAAAGTGTGTGATTATTGGCTGTTGCACAGGCACACAGTGAAAAATCACAATTTTTAATGGATTTCCTGCTGACAAATCCCATGAAAATCAGTGTGAGGAAAAAGCAGGGAAGAGGCATGAGGAGGAGAATTAAGTGCGAGCCAAGGAGTGAGGGGGAAAAGGCAAAAAAATGGCTCTACATGTTAAAGCCACTCCCATGGGAAGAGTTATAATATTGCAGGAGTGGAACTACACACCTTTGTAGTGTATTGAGATGAGAAGCCACACTATAAAAGTAGTTTGGAGAGAAATGGAAGCAGAAAATGAAGAGAAAGAGCAGGAGGTTGAGGAATGCCTAATGTTCGCTCTGTGTGAGCCAGAATATTGTACTGAGACAAGATGCTCACCTCAGCTGAGCCTCGGCCCACTTAAGACTTCCTGGCACTTTTCCTGGGGTGCAAACTGGTATCATCCACACTTTGGTTTGCTGTTGTAAACGCAGCACAACAGTGCTGTACTTGCAGTAATTTTGCTTGCTTCATAAAGTACAAAGCTACTTCAAGTCTGGGGAATAATATGCAATTAGTTTCACTAATATTAATGAGGCTTTTCTGAGGTACTCATTTGTAGATTGTGGTCCGTTTTAAGGGGTCTTTAGTCTCAGATGAACTCTGCAATGAGTGAAGTTTATGCAACCACAATAAGAAACCTGAGGTTTGCACTTGGATTTGTTTTTACAGGCTTTATTGATGTCATAGTAAAACCAATATTTGCTCTTCTACTTGAAGCTCTGAATATAATTGTTGCACCTCTCATACAAGCTGCTGCTAAATCTCAGTGTGTTTCTTCCTCCAAATCATCACGGTATGAACATTTCTTCTTTTCTAGATTTAAGCTAGCCTTATTTTCATCAGACTGTTGCTGCCCCTGGTTCCTGATCATAGTAAGGCAAAGGAATTTGTTGTTTAGCAAAGTCGAGTCTGACTCATCGCTACCCCATGGACAACATTCCCCCAGGCCTTCCTGTCCTCCACCATCCCCAGGAGTCCACTTACGCTCACACCGACTGCTTCAGTGACTCCATCCAGCCAACCCATCCTCTGCCGTCCCCTTCTTCTTTTGCCATCTATTGTTCCCAGCATCAGGGTCTTCTTCAGGGAGTCCTTCCTTCTCAGCAAAGGCATTACAGTGCTATTAATTCTTCTTTTTGATTTAAGAACAGTTCTTAAAAGAAGCAGGCCAAATAAAGTTTTAGAGGGAGACCAAGTTATATCAGCAGGAAAGGCTGGCCCAACACACCCTCTGCCTGAGGCAAAGGGCAGGAGCCAAGCCCTGTGTCTCCAGAAGCCGACTGGACTGACATTTGACTCTTATTTCAGATCAGAGTAGTATCTAACAGTCATGCAGTGTAGTTCACTGCTATATCTCTTCGGCAGTTTGGAGAGCTGTGATAAAAGTCTGTCACTGGAGTAAGGCCCAAATTAAAGCAGGGACCAGTCTTTTGTTTTTTCATCCCCTTCATGCAGACTGGGTATACAGTGTAAGATTTTGTTAACACACCCCACATGTAATTTATTTCTGGTCATTGCTGCTTATAGAAACTAGCAATATTTTTATCTGCCATTAACTGAGTCCTTATTTTTTGCTAATTTTATATTTGATGTTTACTTCTTTGCAGCTCTAAAAAATTGAAACATCCATTTAACAAATGTAGTCTAATTCGTTCTTACAGTTTGCTTTCACTTTTAGCCGAAAGACATCCACAGGAGTACGCAAAGATGAGAAGAAAGAAAATCCTAATAGGCCCAAAGTTGAACATCCAACTTGCTCAGAAAGGCAGCTTTTGGCTACACTAAAGAAACCAAGCTTTAGGGAACACTTGATGCTGAATATTCAAGCAAACCGAAATAAGTGGAAGGAGAGTCAGGTGACCACAGCTAAAGGTATGAGTAATAACACTAAAATAATTGCTTCTGGTCTTAATGTAGATCTTTATGAAGTATCAAAACTGGCTTGTCATAAAGTTTTTAAAGGTGGTTTCACTTTTTAGTTCAATCTTTCTCAAATTGGTGCCCTGTAATACATTTGAAGGACACCAGGTTGAAGAAGGTTGTTCTGGTTTATTGCAAATTACGCACTTATCAAAGAACTAGTTCTGCCTCTCTCTGCTGTGGCTTGTAGATCAGGAACCATCTACAGCTGAGATGGGAAACCCCTGGCTGAGGGGCTGGATTCAAGGCAAGCCACCTCAGAGACAGGGAAGATGTCTGAAGAACAGCTCCTGACCAAACTGTAGCCTCAAGGAGTGACCTCTGAGGTCACAGTTCAGTTTCCTCCATTCTTCGCTTTGCTTTCCTCACTTACTGAGCCAACTCACTGATCCTTGAAGCACTGGCAGAGTGGGCTTCACTTGTCCCAAAGGATAAAGTGCCGTGTCTGTGTCTCGGGGTTCTTAAGTGCGCCACATTGCTCTTTGCCCTGCCATATTGTTAGAAGGAAGGGAATGACTTCCAGAAAAGATTAAGCAGGCAGTAGAAAAGGGAAGAGGAGATAGTGCCAACTCTGTCACTCTCATTATATGCAGACCTGGCCCAACATAAGATCTCTTGCCTCGGCTCCTGCCACAGCCACAACCGCTCTACGGAAGCCACATGTTTGGAAGAAGTGGCTGTGGGGCGCTCACAGGAGTCTGTGTGAGTCTCATCCGTTCATGCACCATCTTCCAGCTGGGTGTAATATGGGGAGGAGAGGCTGCGTGTCTACTCTGTAGCACAGCAGCACTGCTCTCTTGTTGTGGAAAAGGTGAACTCAGCAACGTGGTAGCTGTAGGACCTTTTCTGTCTAAAGATGCATAGAATGGCACCTTTAACTATTAGCTGTAAGAACTTTTATTATAGTCCATCTTTATATAGATGAAAAAAGTATAAGAGGATTTATCACATTGACTTGTTTAGAATCACCAGGACCAGAAAGGAACAAGGTTGAAGATCAAGTACATAAAGACAAAGCAGAGGAAAAAAGTCCCCAGGAAACATCAAAGGGCAAACAGTTCTCGAGTTATTGTGTTGTACCACCGAGCACAACTTGCCATTGCCAGCTTTGTAACAACAGCACATTTGAACCAATGGACATCAGTTTCATAGTTTACAATGCAAGTTCATCAGAACTGTTGCAGCCACATCAGGATGCCGATGCCATGGATGTCACAGAATCATACGGTATGGAAAATAATGTCTTTATTGTATTATCTACAAAAATACCTTGATGCTCTGCTTAGGTACCTATGAGTAAACTGGTGCCCTCCAAGATGTTTTGGATTACAATTCCCATAATGCTTACTCAACCTGATCCAAGACTCAGGAGTGCAAGGGTAAAGCATCTGGAGAGTACCATCTTGGGAAGGCCGCTATAATTCAATATTATAGAAATAGAGAACTATGTTTTAACCATAGCGATATGTGCTACAGATCCACATGGGCCCACAGAATTGCATGCTATGGAATTTAGCAAAGTCTATGCTTTTACAATATTACAACAATAATAATAGAGATACAGATTGTTGGCAATAGTAAAGTATGTGGTAGAGCAGGTTTTTTCAACAGGCGGCTCAAACTTTTTCAACAGGCGGCTAGTTGAAAGGCGGCGGCAACGGGCATGGGCCAGTGGGGGGGGGTGCCCGGGGCTGCAGGCCGGTGAGGTGGGGGTGGGAGTGCGCACAGCTGGTACACTTGCAGCAGTGGTGGGCACATGTGGTGGTTGTGGGTGTGCGCCTGTGTGTGGCGAGGCAGGCGGCAGTGGCATGCGCGGGGAATCCAAAACCTCTGAGGCAGGCTGGATAAATGGGCATGGCGGGTCGGATCCAGCCCACGGGCCATAGTTTGAGGACCCATGTGGTAGATTCTACTAAATCATTAAGCATCAAATGATCTTTTGATCTGGACATTTGCCCTTTACAGAGCTTCCTGTTCTTTCATCATGAACTTTCATACATGAGGTATCTTCTGTGCATTCATCATTCCCTACTCACAGTTGTTTATGGTTATTTTGATGACATCATGATCCTCCAGTTTGATTTCTCATTTAGACAGGATGTTTGGCAAGGTTATTTTTAACGGCAAGGAAAATGTGATTACTTAAAGAATATGCTATTCTCACAGGTGTATTTGTGCCATTCCACTGAACCACACTACCACCTAAAGATTAGGAACTGGAAAAGCAAGAAAGGAAACATCACTTGTGTATTGTTTAGATTTTAATTTTGCAATGAATAGAGATAGATACGGCACACTAAGTCTTATATAGGAAAGCTCTAAAAATTGCAATTTTACATATGACTAACTCCTTGCTCCAGCCTAATTCTCCAATTTCTTTTCCTATCACTGGAGCTGATCCAGCCAACTTGTTCTAATTCCGCACATCTTCAGATTTTATATTTATTTATTTATTTAAAACATTTCTATGCCACCCGCATCGCAACAAAGCCTCGGGGCGGCTCACAAAGAATACATAAAAACATACATAAATAATAACAATATAACTATTAAAAAAACATTTAAACCCCCCCCCCCGGTGCATTCTTGGCTAAAAATTTTAAAATCCTAATTAATTCAATAATTTAACAATTAAAATAAGTTTTAAATAAAAAGGTCTTAGCCTGGCGCCGAAAAACAAATGACGGCGGCAGGCGGACCTCTCTGGGGAGCGCATTCCATAAATGGGGCGCCACCGCAGAGAAAGCCCTCCTCCGGGTACTCACCCTCCTAATATCATTCACAGAGGGTTCCCGGAGAACGGCATCCGTTGCTGATCTCAAGGGGCGGGAGGGCATATATGGACGCAAGCGTTCCTTTAGATATCTAGGTCCCAAGCCTTTTAGGGCTTTATAGGTCATAACCAACACCTTGAATTGGGCCCGGACTTCAATTGGGAGCCAGTGGTACAATTGAAGTATCCGGACCGTCTTCAAGGGTAGCCCCACGTAGAGCGCGTTACAGAAATCTAATCGGGAAGTTACCAGCACGTGTGTCTGTCGCCAGGCAGTCGTTCTTCAGAAAGAGACGCAGCTGATGTATCAGCTGAAGCTGAAGGAAGGCGCTCCTCGCCACCACAGTCACCTGAGCTTCTAGAGACAGCTCAGGGTCGAGGAGCACTCCTAAGCTGCGAACCCTGTCCATCAGAGGGAGTGCAACCTCATTTAGGACAAGGCCCAAGTCCCCCATCCCGAGGCCCGAGCCACCCACCAACAGGACCTCCGTCTTGTCTGGATTGAGCTTCAGTTTATTGGGCCTCATCCAGCCCATTACCTCGGCCAGGCACCGGTTCAGCACAGCCACTGCCTCACCTGGATTGGTGGAAAACGAGAGGTAGAGCTGGGTATCATCAG